AATACTTGGGAGGCTGAGGCAGGAGAATTGCATGAATGTGAGGCCTGAGATACATAGTGAGTTTCAGATTAGTCTAGTTTAAGAGACCCTATCTTAGAAAAAGTAAATGCTTTGGGGGAGGGGGTGTTTAGATCAATGGACTGGAATTCTGGTCACTAGCTGGCTGTTTTGTCCACTAGTGTGACCTGCCATGAATACCCCAGCTCTTTGTACACCGGCCTTGGGGTTGCCACTCAGTTAGCCAGGTGTGAAAATGGACATATGCGGTACTTTGCTTACATACCTGACCTTTGGGAGCCATCGTGAGTTCCTTTATAAGTCCATGGTTGTTTTTAATCTCGGAACAGTGTCAAGAGGACTCTTGACTATTAAAATTGAGACAAGGAAAAAAAAATAAAAGAAAAAAATGTAAATGAAATGACAACATATATAAAACAGCCTTTTCTGCTCCGGTGTAACAATGTATCCAGGAAAGCTTCACCCATGGCTGACAAGCCAGTGAGACAAAGTTGTGGAGAAAACAGGACATTTTGTCTCAAGGTATCACCTTGGCTACTTGTGAATTTCACGGGCAAAGTGGGAACTCTTTAGAACCGAGAGAACCCATGTCCCCACCTTAGCCAAGCAATACAAGCTGGCTTTCTGTTGCTGGGATACACCCGACTAGATCTGTAAATCCCAGTATGACTCAGCAAGGAGGATTGGGCACCTCTATGCTTTCCTGCACACTGTCCAAAATGTATCTATCCACAAGGAAACAATCCAGCCAATCAAGAATGGGGAACACTTTAAAATATATCTGGACTCTGTGTTCTCAAAACACTAAGATTTAAGACTGAAAGATTTTAGACTCTTGGTGTGAACCTAGTTCGGCTCTGGGATCCAAAACAAAGGAGGATAGTAAATATGTTTTCAGAACGCCTGGAGCAAATCAAATGTGGACTGAACATTAAAATGTTATTGCATGCAGGTTTGTAATATCCCCCCCAACCCACCCACCCCCCCCCCCCCCGCCCCGCTCCCAGTGTTTGAGAGGTAGAGGCAAGAGGACCAGAGTTCAAGGACAGCCTCAACAACATAGTGAATTTGAGGCTATCCTGGGCTACATGAGACCCTGTCTCAAAAACAAAAGAGAAGTTATTGCATTAGGGGTTGGTGTATTAGTGTTATTAATGTCTTGGCATTTGTATGAAAATGTCTTCAGGAGGAGATGCTTGGGTGCTGGGGGTAGTGGCATATCCCATCTATAACCTGCAATGCCTGTATTTTCTGTACAACACACAGAAACGGAGTAAGTATGGACCAACTGTCTGCAGCTGGGTGAAGGGTTAGGTGTGGTCCTCATCCTCTCATTTCTATGGAGTAAAAGGCTTTGAAAATCAAAAGTGTACCAAGGAAGTTGAGGAGAGCCTGGCCTTTATCTGACTCCCACTTGGGTCCCAGCATCTCTCCGGGAGCAGCCCTGAAGACTTATAAGCGACTGTTTTCTGTGCATTTTGCTCATAAGGAGAAAGCAGCTAAGTGCAATGGTGCTTGGTGGTGGCAGCACCCGGGACAAAGGGCTAGGCCACTTAAGGCTGTGGGAGGAGGGGAGGTAATGTCTGCTGGGCACGTGAACTGCTAGGCAACTCAGAGCTATTCCTGACTGCTAAGTGTATGTATGTTGGATAACAATGTGTATATTGAAGTCATTGTGGCCAGGAAAAAGGAGCAGGGATTCTGAAGCCACTTCTGGGGATAAAGACCAAATCTCCCATCCTTTTTTTTTTTTTTTTTTTTTTTTTTTTGAGCCCTGGGGATGCTTAGGGTTCCTTTGAGAACTCAGCATGGTGAGGCACGGTGCATTCTGTGTACTGGGTGCTAATGAAGAAGCACTTTCCATTCTGCAAGATCATTCTCTTTCCACGTGGGGTATATTCCTAGTCATAAACAAAAGAACGGCCTGGAGGGTTTCATGCCGCTAGCACCAGAGCACACTCATTGAGGATGCAGGCCCAGCCCTGCCTGGCTGTCGCCTGCAGTGTGGAGGGTCCCCAAGAGGCCTCCCCACTTGTATGGGGAGTAGAGGGAGCCCGGGAAGTGAGATCCCTTCTCCCTAAGCCATGACCCCTCCTTTGGGGGTTAATCCTCTGAGGCCTGGTAGCAAGGCTCTGAAAGGTTTGAAAAGCAGGGAGGAGCAGAGGAAACTAATCTGATTGAAGACATCAGCTGGTGCCTCCAGATAGATGGCTGACTGCCAGCAGTGCTGCTCCAGGGTCTCGGGGCCACCCTGAGCACAGTGTACCATCCTGCCTGGGCTGAATACCCTGCCATTTTATGCCTCCCCACCCCACCCCCCAAAAAAACCTCATGGGGACAAGGGTGTGACTCAGTGGTAGATCACTTCCCTTATATGTGGGAGGGTGCGAACTCAATGATTAGCACAAAATTGGGTGTGGGGGGGTCATATCTGTTAGTATATGTTGCCAAGATTAGCTCAGTTCTGTATAAGGTTCAGGGAAAGCTGGGCAATTGAGGGGGGGGCATGTAGCAGCTTTTACATGATTATTAAAATATGTGATCTTGCCTATTGCACTCTTGTAGTTACTGAATAGACTTGTCTTGAAAAGGGGTCAGGGGCTGGAAAGATGGTTCAGTGGTTAAGAGCATGTGATGTTCTTGCAGAGGACTGGTTACCAGAACCCACAACCATCTTTAACTGCAGCTCCAGGGGATCTGATACCCTTTGGATCCTGACAGCACCTGTAGTCATGTTCACATAACCACACTCAGACAGAGCCAGCCACCCAGACCCCCCCCACACACACACACACAATTAAAATTACTAAAAAGCAGAGTATGATTGTGCACACCTTTAATCCCAGCACTCAGGAGGCAGAGGTAGGTGGATCTCTGTGAGTTCGAGGCCAACCACAGCTATATAATAAGATCCTGTCTCATGCCAGGCAGTGGTGGCGCATGCCTTTAATCCCAGCACTTGGGAGGCAGAGGCAGGTGGATCTCTGTGAGTTTGAGGCCAGCTTGGGCTACAGAGTGAGTTCCAGGTCAGAGAAACCCTGTCTTGAAAAAAAAAAAAAAAGATCCTGTCTCAATAAAACAAAAAATGAAAAGACTAATAAAAATATTCTTAAAAAGAAAATTTTTAAACTTAAAAAGTTAAATAAATATATGGTCATTGGAGAAAACCATAGGGAATATTAAACTCCCCAGAGAAAGTACAAACAGTATTGGATTCCAGTGATCAGAGAGAACCACCCATCCATTCATTTGTCTACCTACAGGAGGTCTTAGAATCTGGTGGTAGTGATTCATGTTAACATGGCCTTTCAGCTAAGCTTTGAAAGACACAGGATGAGAGAGAATTAAAGAGTACTCCACAGGGGAGGGTCATTGGTCCATGGACTGCATCCTGCTGATGAGGAGGAAGGCCTGGATCTGAGGCTGCAGACACCAGTAGGTCCCAGATCGCAGCTGTAGAAGAAGCTCCTCCCCCTTGGACAGTTTGCCCTTGCCCTTACCTCTGCCAGCTCTCCGTGGGGGTGCATGCTCCGCAGGTAGCACCATTGCAGCCACACACTGCGCTCTGGGAGGAGATTGCCCTTGACCAGAGTAGTCTCTGCTTCCTCCCTGTGGTATATCCACTTCCCCGCTCTGCTTCTGAATTCGTGTCCATCCATCTTTCCCCTCTTTGAGGGTTGTTGCCGGCTCCCTAATGAGACAGATCCTGGGCTGCCCAGAGTTTCATTTCGCTTTGCAGTGGCATCCTTGCATTTGGAATGGGTGTGTCTGCAGAGCAGCCCCGGGTGGGTGGGTACTTCTTACCTTTCTGGGGAGATGGAAAAGCTGGTGACGAATTGGGTCAGGGAGTCACTTGCCACAGCCACGAGCAGGTACACAAAGGTACTTGTGCCCTTCCCAACACATTTGCTCAGCAGCTCCTCTGCACCCTATAAGGCTATTCAGAGATCACAGGTGACCAGGCCAAGGCTGACTCTCAAGGGACTCAGTTGGGGAAGGCTTACCGGAGGCAGTAACTTGGAAGGAAGGTGAAGGACACCAAGCTTGGCCGAGTGAAGAGAGGGGATAAAGACAGGTATTCCAGGCTATAGAGCTGTGCAAACAAGGCCAGGAGACACAGTGCTTTTGAAGAACTGCCAGTGGTGGGGTCCACTGCCAGATGTGGAGTGGTACCCCCAGAAAGGAGTGCTGAGTCTGGAGGTTTCCAGCCTGCAGAGCCTCACAAAGTGGGCCTGCCATGTCTCCCAGGAGCTTCTGGTCTGAACCCTCAGTGCAGGAGAAGCCCCTCTGTTTCTGGCTATTGAGTTATAACCCAAGGCCTAAAGCCCGCACTTTTAACCATCTCTCAGAACCCCGGTATATGGTCAGGCTCCCGTTGTCCACAGCAGCACCTCCTAATGATTCCTTTGGGGCTTTCTTCCTTTCCCTCTTTCCTTCCCCAATTTGCTGCTCTTTTCTGAACTCATCTTCCAAGCAAGCTGTGTCCTAGGCAACCCAAACTAAAACTACATATGGTTAGACTATGAGTCCCATAGAGGACAGTGGAGAGCAGCGGACGGGCTCTTCTGCACACAGAAGGATGGGGTCAGACTTGAGGCCGTTATGACTCTGCCTGAATTGGTGAGGGCTGGACAGGGAATGTGGGAACCTCGCCCCTAGAACCTCAAGGCTGCCTGTGGCTGCTCTCCAGCACCTTCTATGTTCTTGGCACCTATCTGAGCATTAGTGTGCATCTTCTCGTGGGCTCAAACAAAAGCCTTACAGCTGGGGCCACAGAGAGATTGAGACACCTCATCCTGATCACACAGCAGGAAGTGATGGCGTGGAGATTCGCGGTCCAAATGTGTCCTTTTGTTCCTAGGTAGTTCTTCCTGCCTGTTGCTTTCGGTCACTTTTGCCAATGCCGTCCCCATATCCCAGGGGAGAAATTACTGTCCGGGGTTCGGTTTCCTCAGGTAAATTCTGCTTCTGCCTCACTGTAGGTAAGTTTGAGGACAGAGAAGACCGTGTGCCCAAATTGGAGCAGATAAACAGTACGAGGATCCTGAGCAGCCAAAACTTTTCCCTCACTAAGAAGGAGCTGCTGGCCACAGAACTTCTGCTCCTGGAGGCTTTCAGCTGGGACCTCTGCCTGCCCACACCTGCCCACTTTCTGGACTACTACCTCTTGGCCTCCATCAGCCAGAAGGACCACCACTGCCACACCTGGCCCACCACCTGCCTCCGAAAGACCAAAGAGTGCCTGAAGGAGTATGCCCACTACTTCCTGGAAGTTACCCTGCAAGGTGAGGGCACAGAGGCAGTGGGGGGAGGGGGGAGCCCAGGGGCTGGGATGCAGTGGCTCAAGAGGGGTGTCAATCAGAGAGGGTCTTCTTTCATGCCCAGAGTCCCCACACCCATATCACTCCCCCTTTGCAAAGAAATGCAAGGATATACCCAGAGTTGCAGAGTAATACATAAACAAAATAGCAGCTTACACAAAAGCCACTGGTACCCAGAGACTAGCAGCTCACCTGGGAAGTTTTCACAAGTGGCTCGTTCCCAAACAGCTGCCACCACAGATTAAATAGGGTTTGTGGGGAGGTGACAGTGTTCTTCTCATCTACGTTAGCAGTAAGTTGGCTTCTTTGGGGGCTGAGAAGACAGCTCAGGTGATAATGTGCTTGCTGTGAAAGCATGTGGAGTTCTGAGTTCAACATGCAGAACCCACATAGAAAGCCAGACATTACACCTGTAATCCCAGAGCCAGGGAGGCGGAGAGGAGGAAGCCTTAACTGAGAAAATGTCTCTAAGATGGGGCTGTAGGCAAGTCTGTAGGGCATTTTCTTTATTAGTGATCAATGGGGGAGGGCCAAGCCCATTGTGGGTGGTACCATCCCTGAGCTGGTGGTCCTGGGTTAACAGCAAGGTGAAAAAGCCAGGAGAAGCAAACCAGAATGTAACCCCTCCATGGCCTCTGCATCAGCTCCTGCCTCCAGGTTCCTGGCCTGTTTGAGTTCCTGTCTTGGCTTCCGTCAGTGGACTCTATATAAGTCAAATAAACCCTTTCATCCCCAAATTGCTTTGGTCATGGTGCTTCATCACAAAAATAGTAACCCTAATAAGACAGACCCCTTTCAAAGTAGTTTCAGTCATTCCCATTTTATAAATGAGAAAATGTATACTCAAGAAGTGAAATCACTTCCCCAAGGCCACTGACAGCATTTGAAGCTGGAAGTCTGACTCTGTGACTCTACTTCTAATTATACCACTCTAACTAATTGATACTTTCAAAGGCAAAACTTCTAGTAATTGAAAGTTATGAGCAATTGATAACAGATAGTAATGCACTGGACCCTGAGTATCATCATTGAAAAGTTTAGGAATGCTCATTGTATCCATTCACCATAGCTTCAGATGTCTCAATGGAACATAAAATTTCTTGGGTTGGTGAGATTGCTCAGTGGAAAGATGGGGCTGTTTGATCCTTGACTCTCACTTGGTGCAAGGAAAGAATCAACTCCCTTTGACCTCCACATGTATGAATATCAGACACTTCATGTGCCTACACAGTAACATAAATAAATGTGATTTAATCTTTTTAATGTTACTTCATAAACCTAGACAAAGTTATGAATATCAAACTTGTACAGCCATTCATTTGGTTTTCATCCAATTTCCAGTGTCTGCTAAGGACCAGACATGGTTGCTATGCACATAACCTTTAGTCAGACTCTGTCTATTAATAATAATATCAAAAAAAGAATAGAAATCTTTGTGGTTCTGTTTGTAGCCCATCAGCAAGCACCTTTACAGCATTCTGGGAGCTGTAGACATTTTGAAAAATTGTCCCTCTAGGCTGATGCCAGAAACCACAGACTGAACGCCAAAACCTTTAAGACTCAACAATGGGTTCCTGGTCTCTTCTTACCCCGTTTGTAAAAAGCCAGCATTGCATAGCCCTTCCTTGAACTGACTCATTTGTCTGCTGTTGGGCGGACCAAGCAGAAGACTCCATGGAGACGCTTTCCAGTGCTTACACCCTCTACAATTCTCTTTCAGATCATATCTTTTACAAATTCCAGCCTTCTGTGGTCGCTGCAGCCTGTGTTGGGGCCTCCAGGATCTGCCTTCAGCTTTCTCCCTACTGGACCAGAGACTTGCAAAGGGTCTCAAGCTACTCCCTGGAGCATCTCAGCACATGTATCGAAATCCTGCTGGTGTAAGTCCTCTCCTGGTTGGCTAAGTTTATAAAATACTGACCTTCTATTTGCCCTTAGGGCCCCACCCCAGTTTTGGGGGGGGGGGTGTTCCTGAGTCTGGGACAGATGGTAGCTTCCCCAGGTAAGGTGTTGGATGTAAAGGAGCAGAGTGCCCCTTGACAGAAGTGGTATTGTGGACAGTGGGGTATGGCAGTATGCAACTGTAATCCTTGGGAAGCTGAAACAGGAGGATTGAAAGCTGGAGGCCAGCCTAGGATAAATAGTGAGACTCTGTCTCAAAAAAAAAAAACTTAAGAAGTGGGTCTTAGAGAGTTGCCTATTTCTCTTTGTGTTTTTAACACTGGGAAGTGAGGGGCAAGAGGAGTGGGGCTGGGGACACCTGCTCCTATATGTCTGGACTCATCCTATCATTTTGTTTCGTTATTGAGACAGGGTGTCATGTAACGTAGGCTAACCTCAATCTCATTATGTAGCTAGTGGGGTATCCTGGAACTTCCGATCTTCCTGCCCCTTGCTCCTGGGTGCTGGTATTATAGGTGTGTGCCACCAGGCAAGTACTCTTATCAGCTGAACTCATCCTGTATGGGCAAATTTCTAATGTCCAGTGTGATTTCGTGAACGATCGTGAATTCATTCTCTCATGTAGTTCCTTTTCTCAGGCAAGCTGCAAAACTTATCACTTAACCAGCCAAGTCCAGAGTGACTTCAACTAAGAGGTCACAGCCTCCTTTCAAGGGTCATCTTAAATCTAACACAGTGAAATAGAGATTGGCAGCCCAAGAGGTCTATAATGGCTGTCAGGAGGAGGGCAGACAGGACAGAGCAGCCCTTAAGTGGCTACCTCCAGTCAACTCCCTCTTCTCCCAGTGGATAATAATGACCTCTGTGTGCTGGCCTAATCGATCAGGGGTCTGGGAGGCAGAAACAAAAGTCCTTCAGCCCCTGAAGAGCCATCTCTCAGCTTCCCAATGTGAGCAGCTTCACTGTGCTACCTGAGTCCTGCTCTGAAATGTTAGTCCTGCTCCCTAGGCCATCTTGAATCGTATGCTTTTAGAAGTCCCCAAGTCAAGCTTGGTGGTGGTGGCGGCAGCGGCGCACGTCTTTAATCCCGGCACTGAGGAGGCAGAGGCAGGTGGAGCTCTGTGAGTTTGAGGCCAGCCTGGTCTACAGAGTGAGTTCCAGGACAGCCAGGGCTACACAGAGAAACTCTTCCCTCAAAAAGCAAAAAGTCCCCAAGTCAGAACACAGCTTGTTTTGACAACTGATGGCTACTCCATTATCAGTCACCAACCCAGCCCTGTTTGTCATTGCTGGCTCTCACCCTGGGAAATCCTTGCTCAAATAAGTTCTAGACTCCATAGGCTCCTTTCTTCCAGGTGACTCTGTCTTTACTTTCTCAAAAAGTTTTGTTTGTTTAAGATGGGGGAAAATAACAAAAAGTATCCGCTGTGTCCCCTCTTTTCAAATGTTTCCTTGGTGTCCAGAAGCTAAGGATTTTCCCAGCTGGGGACAGAACTGGCCCAGAAGAACCTGGAGAGTAGTGCTGGTACTCTGCCAAGTGCTGGAATGCAGGAGTGAACAGAAGCAGATGGGACCCAAATTACCTTCCGAGGTTTTAACAGCCCAGATGTGTTGGTACTGGGGCTCCGGGGACAAGTTCAGCTGATCTTGCACAGGATCAGAGAGGTTGTGGGACAGAAGCAGCTCCAAGCTGAGACCTGGGGCCAGAGTCTAGTTGGTGAGCAGGCGAGGCTGTGTTGTAGCTTGCTGTCACAGACTGCTATAGCATGGTGTGCCAGTCTCCCCGTCCCACCTACTGGAGAAGGTAAGCAGGTGTCTGGTGACGTTTTCTCTCCAAGGCTCACCTGAGTCTTTTCCTTTCAGAGCATATGACAATGTCCTCAAGGATGCAGTTACAGTCAAGAGCCAGGCATTGGCCATGGTGCCTGGCACATCACCAGCTCCCACCCAAGTGCTGTTCCAGCCGCCCGCCTACCCTGCGCTCAGCCAACCACCGCCAACACTAGCCCAGTTCCAGAGTCCAGCGCAGGACTTGTGCTTGGCTTATCGGGACTCATTACAGGCCCATCGCTCAGGAACCCTGCTCTCAGGAGACACTGGTCCATCCCTCCACACCCCATACCCAACCCTCCAACCCTTGGATATGTGTCCTGTGCCCGTCCCTGCATCCCTTAGCATGCAGATGGCCATTGCAGCTGAACCCAGGCACTGTCTTACAGCCACCTACGGAAGCAGCTACTTCAGCGGGAGCCATATGTTCCCCACAGGTTGTTTTGACAGCTAGGCCACATTTGGACCACATGGAGAACCCTGGAAGACCCAGACCGAAGAAGTGAGCACCTAAGAGGGAGAGTTCAGCCAGGTGAGGCAGAGAACCTAGTACCCTTCAATAGTGAGGGTCTGTGTGCTTTAAACAAACAAACAACCCAGAGCCAACATCCAGGGACATACCTCACCCAACAGCATCTCTCTGGGAACCTCTTCCACGAGTGCCTGGAGGACAAAGACGTGACCGTGGCCATTCACTCCCTTGAGTTGGGGGATCCAGTGGAGCACATCAGACCTGATGAGAGGCTTGGACATTGAGGACTGCATAGAGATCAGTAGCACATCTGGACTTTTCAAAGACTACTTTTCACAGCTTTGCCACTGAAAAAGAAAGGGCAGTTGGGCGGTGGAGGCACATGCCTTTCATCCAAGCACTCAGGAAGCAGAGGCAGGCAGATCTTTGTGAGTTCGAGGCCAGCCTGCTCTACAGAGCAAGTTCCAAGACAGCCAGGGTTACACAGAGAAACCCTGTCTGGAAAAACAAACAAACAAAAGCAAAGAAAAAGAAAGAAGTGGCACCTGGCATATCCTCTGTGTCTCTAGAAGATCCATCCTGAGTGTGTTTCCCTCCTTAGCTCCACACCAAGGGCCCCATTCCCCATGTTTATGCCTGAGCACTGGCCCCTTGAGGCACAGTGGCTATCTTGCCCTTTTGTTTTTGAACCCCAAACCTTGTTTGTCCTTCTCGAGATTTCACATGCTGCTGCTGCTTCCTGGAACAATCTAGCTCTCTATCCTGCAAAAAAAAAAAAAAAAACATCTTGTTTACATACTGTGTCAGGGATTTTGTGATACTTGAAAATTCCGTAGGAGAAAAAAAGTTTGAATTGCCACACTGTCTGTCCCATGTTGAGGCTGTATCTTTTATGAACCCAGCTTGTGAGCAACTGGTGGGTAAGAACAGCAGGGAGAGAGAGCACCTCCCAGGCTCGTGGCTCTGAAGAGTCAGCCCCTGGGGTGCTAGGCTTCACCTGCTGAACTTGGATCACGGCCCCCTGGTGGGGGGCCGTTGTGGAAAGGAAGACAAAGGTTTGAACCGCTGGGTCCTCACTTCCCTCCACCACACACAGGCTTGTAGTGCTGAGGGTGAACCGCCCCCAGCTTTGTTTGAGTTTGGCCCAATAGTAAAGGGTAATAATACTGTGGAATATTTGAGAAGTAGGGGGGATGAACGTGGTCTATGACACCAGCATTGGCAGGCAAGGGATGGCTGGAGCAAAAGCCGGTGTCTGGGGATCTGCAGTGGGAGGGCTCAGGAAGACTCACCATGTGCAATATGTTAGGACTGACTCATACATAGCCTGTGCTTAGGATGTTCTTGTGGTTGGTTTTGTTTTGTGTCAGGGGACATGCTGTTCACCCATCAGAATTGGGAGGGAGGTGCAAAAGACCACAAAAACAAATTTTAGTTTTCTTTTTGAAAAGATTGTGTCTTGGTTTTTTTTTTATTATTATTATTATTATTATTATTTTGATTTTCTTTTTTCTTTCTTTGGCGGCGGGGGCTGGGGGGAGGTTCCTTTAATTTTGAGACAGGTCTAATGTAGCTAAGGCTAGCCTCAAACTTAGTACATAGCCAAGGCTGGCCTTGAACTCCTGATCCTCGTGCTTCAGCTTACCCTGTATGCCATGACACCTTGCCTCCCATCTTGGTTCTCTTTGACTCGCTTGCCAAGCCAAGAGACCATAGCAGGGACTGCCAGGGAGGCAGCCACAGGCTGCTGAGTCGGATATGACAGGGATGGGACTTTTCTGAGCCGATGAATGTCTCACGGGAAGTGAATAAGGAAAGAGCTGGATGCAGATGAGGCGCTGCCGTTTTGTCAGTTAGCATAGGAACCTGCACGTTTGTTTGTTATTTTTTTTTGTGTGTTTTTGGCTCCCACCCCTTCACCCCCATTACCAGCCTCTTTGTATTCATGTGCAACTGGTTTGGAGTTACTGTATCTGTCTGTTCTGGGCTGGGGCTTATGAGAAACATCTCCACTGGGGCCCCAGAGCTAGCCTGATTCCCAGGCCCAGGTGTCCTGCAATAAATACATCACCTGCTCTTGGTCTCTTCCTTCTTTGTCTGGACATCTCTTTGCAGGCCAGCCCTTCCCCTCCTCTCTCTAGCCCACCTCTGTGGGAGTCTTCCCTGGATGAGATGTTAGAGAGATCAAGGGATTTATGAGTTTTCTCATTGCTGTGACAAAATGACCCGATAGAACAACCTAAAGGAGAAAATGTTTGTTTCAGCTCCTGGTTTGAGAATGCAGTCCACTGTGGCAGGAAAGCCATGGTGGGCAAGAACAGCTGTGATGGCTATGGCAGGAGTATGAGGCTGCTTGCTCACATCTCCATGGGTCAGGAGCAAAGATGGGACAGGAAGTGGAGCCGGGCTATCAACCTCAGGGCTGGGTCCCTAGAGATCTACTTCCACTAGCTAGGTCCCAACTCCAAAAGGTTCCATAACCTCCCAAGACAATGCCACCAGCTGAGAACCAAATGTTCCAATAAGTCAGCCTGTGAAGGACCTTTTACAATATTGGAGACATCAGCAGCAACACCAGCTGCTCTGGACCTGAGCCCTTCCCTCTAAGCAGAAGCTGGGCTTCCCTGGGCAAAGGAGTATGTTGTTGGTTGCTTTTACTCTTTACTCTTTGGGGGCACACTACCCCGCTCCCAAATAAATCACACAGAGAGGCTTATTATTTCCTATAAAGAATAAGCTTGGCCTTAGCTTGGCTTGTTTCTAGCCAGCTTTTCTTAAATTATCCCATCTACCTTTTGCCTCTGGGCTTTTACCTTTATTTCTGTGTACCTTTCTTTACTTCTTAATCTGTGGCTTGATGTGTAGCTGGGTGGCTGGCCCCTGGAGTCCTCCTCCTTTTCTTTCTCTTTCTCTTTCTCTTTCTCTTTTCTCTCTCTCTCTCTCTCTCTCTCTCTCTCTCTCTCTCTCTCTCTCTCTTTCTCTCTCTCTCTCTCCTAGATCTCCCTCCTTTTCTATTTTTTCTCTCTGCTTGCCAGCCCCGCCTATCCTTTCTCCTGCCTTGCTATTGGCCGTTCAGCTCTTCATTAGACCAATCAGGTGTTTTAGACAGGCACAGTAACACAGTTTCACAGAGTTAAACAAATGCAACATAAAAGAATGCAACACGCCGGGCGGTGGTGGCGCACGCCTTTAATCCCAGCACTCGGGAGGCAGAGCCAGGCGGATCTCTGTGAGTTCGAGGCCAGCCTGGGCTACCAAGTGAGTCCCAGGAAAGGCGCAAAGCTACACAGAGAAACCCTGTCTCGAAAAACCAAAAAAAAAAAAAAAAAAAAAAAAAAAAAGAATGCAACACATCTCTGCATCATTGAAACCAATGCCCCACATCTTAAAATAATATTCCACAACAGGAGTGTGTGAAGCTTGACCTTCCAACCCTACTCCTGCATCAATCATCACTGTCCAGAGGCAAACCAATAATAGATTCACTACAAGGAATTGAGTCGCACAACCATGGAAGCTGGCAAACCCAGAATTTTTAGAGTGCATGCCAGCAGGCCGAAGAGGCTGCTACAGCAAGTCAAGTCTAAACTCTGCAGGGTGGGCCAGTAAACCAGAAACTTGGGCCATTTCTTTATTGCAGCCTGGAGGCAAAATTCCTTTTCTTTGCTCTTAAGGCCTTTCCCTGGCTGGAAGGGACCCTCTCCCCTGCTTTTCTTAAAGTCACACATTTAAGAAATAATCACACCTGGAAAAAAATCTTCACAGCAACACCGAAACTAGTTGGTTTTTTTTTTTTTTAATCAAGTAACTGAGCACCATAGGTTCCCAAGGTGTTGGGAGACAAATTGGCCAGCCCCTCCCAACCTGCCTTCTTATCTACTAAAATGGGTGTGATGACAGCACTTGCTATTGGGGTCTCATGATCAACAATATAATGTACACCAAGGCCAGTACCTCCTAATAAAAGGTGGTTATTATACAGCTCCTCAAACATAAGATGAAGTGTTATTTATTACAACAATAAAGGCATTTTGTTTGCAATAATAGCAGACTATATTGCCCAGCCTGGTCTTCAGCTGACCTTCCCATCTTGGCCTCCCAAGTAGCAAAGACAGATGCAGGAGGACACTGCCTGGCTAAGACACCTTCCAAGGGCTGGGAATGAAGGTTGGTGGCAGGGCTGAGTACAGGGTGGCAGTGTACTTGGCTAGCATGCACAGAGATCTGCTCACAGCTCACAGCAACACAGAAGGAGGAAAAGGCAGAGAGAAAAAGAAGAAAGGGAAAACGGGCCGAGGAGATGGCTAAGTGGGTAAGGGGCTCACCGTTCAAGAGGGAAAACCTGAGGTCAGGTCTCCAGAGCACACATCTTTCTTTATGTGCCAGATCCAGTAGTGTACGTCTGCAATCCCAGCATTTAGACAACAGGATGGGATTCGGAGATGAGACTCTCCGGATGCTCTGGCCTGGCATATGCAGCAGCAAATAAGAAGAGACCTAGTCTCAAGCAAGGACCAATACCGAAAGTTCCCTCTGACCTCCACACATGTCATGGCATGGATCCACTCACAGGAAAACATACGTCATACATAAAAAATTTTTTAAAAAAAGGTAAAACACAAGCCAGCCATGGTGGCCTGTGCCTGTAATTCTAGCACTCAGTGGGATCAAGCAGGAGGTTTGTGACTTTGAGGGCCAGCCTGAGCTACACTGTGAGACCCTAATTCAAAAACCACAATGTGTGTGCTAGAACTATGGCGGAGAATGTCCCAGTCCACTCTTCTTGGCCCCTCTGCTCTGTCCTGCAGGAAAACCATTGGTGAGAGCTGCTGTCATGTGGGGTTAAGAGGTATTCACCCAGCACAGATGTCTTGCTGAGTGACATTTTATGACATGAAGATTAGGACCAGACTGTGAAGGACATTTGGGGACCATGTCCATTGGTAGAGAACTGGACCACCCAACCCCTGCACACAAGACTCACTGAGGCAGGGAGCTCTAGCTTCGGAGAATGCTGATAAAATAAATTGAGTTTACCAAGAACAATGGATTCACTTTGGACACATCCTTTCCTGTGGCTTTACTCCCCATCCGTTACCATGGAGACCATTGAACTTTTGGCCTGAGATGAGCTCTAGGTAAAGCTGAGCCACAGAGTCACAGCTACAGCCTTCAACCAGAGGGATCACACAGACATGGGTATTCTGTTTAAAGACTTTGTTGCCATACCAGATCATGACTAGAAAAGGTTGAAAAGCAGAGATGGCTGGGCATGGTCTCTCTCTCTCTCTCTCTCTCTCTCTCTCTCTCTCTCTCTCTCTCTCTCTCTCTCTCACACACACACACACACACACACACACACACACACACACACACACTCCCTTTTAATCTCAGCAGACAGACTGATCCCTGGGTCAGTCTACATAATGGGTGCCAGGGCTACCTAGCAGGACCCTGTCTGTAAACAAAAACAACAGCCACAAAGCATGGAGAACGCCTTAAAGGCTCCCCCAGGCCTGCTATCTCCATGAATGCGGCAGACCAGACATGCACGAGCTGCAGAATGACCTGGAGTCTTCTCTAATTGGGATGGGACACAGAATCAGCATGTTTAGTCAGCTTCCTCATAAGTACAGATGTGAGAATTCTTCAGCTATCCAAGGAAAGGTTAAATGTGCAAGGCCTGGCTGCCATCCTCAGAGGAGAACCCACATTTGGACCCTGTGAGTTCTCAGATTCTCTGTTGTACTGTGTATGGGAGTACACACCTTTACTCCTAGCCCTCAGGAGGCTGGGGAGTGGAGATCTCAAAAAAAAAACAACCCCCCAAAACCTACCTTGATTCTATATAGTATTTCTTTGAGCTGGGAGCTGTGTGAAGGGTGGAGACAGCCAGACTCCTTTTCCAAGGACAGCCTGCTTCCTTCTAGGATCATACTATAAATGCCTGGTCCCTGACTGCAAAACTATTTGACCTCTCTCATCTGGACTGTTCCCACTTCATCCCATTGAGATGGACTCCTTTCCCATCCCAGCAAATTGCAGCCAGAGTCACACTGGGACCAAGAGAACATTTAGTAATAATCAAGAGATACAATGTGTTCCTGTAACTGGGGGTATCTGCTCTTGGTACCCAGTGGGTAGAGATTGGGGTGCTGCTGAACATATTACATGTAGAGGACAAACCGCCCCCCTCCCCCCATGGCAAAGGATGAACCAACCACAGATGGCTGGATTCTGGAGTTGAGGAGCCCGACTGAGGTCGTGGTAGGTGGCAGATAAGCCTCTGCAGTAGTGCAGGGTGCTCTCATTACTCCTGTCTTGGCTTCAACCCTAAGATGCACTTACTCATTTGTCCGTTTGGTGTAGCAGTGACGCCCTAAGCCGGAGCCCGTGGAACTTCCCCACTCGCTGCCCCCCCAAGCCCTTTTCACCCAAGAAATTTTTTATGTGACCCAGGTATATAGAGGCATAGAATAAGCATACAAATAAGACATTTACTGACAATAAATCATATTCATTTTAAAAATAACTCTTTGGTACGTATAATTTAGGACTTATTAACACAGATTTGCATACTGATAAGACAGAAACGCCTTACAGATTTTTTTACATAAAAAGTTAAAATTTTGGCTGAAAGTTTCATACTTCAGAACATACTGGCATCTTTGATAGCTATAAAGTGAATTTGAGAAAAGCCTGAGCTAGGCTTTGTCACAATCAATTAATAAACAAATATAATTTTTTAAAAATTAAACATTTTAACATGGTACAACTGAAAGATAGACCAATTCGATACATGATGAGGAGTGGTGGTAGGGAAACATTGCATGCCTTTGCTTCCCATAACTGAAGCATTATATGTGTATCGAAACCTTAAGGGGCGGTGGTGGTAACCCAAGCCTTTCATCCTTCATGCCAGCACTTGGGAGGCAGAGACCGGTAGATCTCTCTGAGTTTCAGGCCTACAGAGCGAGTTCCAGGACAGTCAGAGCTACACAGAGAAACCTTGTCTCAAAGAAAAACAAAAGGAAAAACAACAACAACAACAAAAAAAAAACAAAAAAACGGAGCAA